AACGTTCATATGTCCGACCTATCTGGTAAACAGCCATAGACTTGTGTAATTACCTATTATTATATTTGTAACCTGTTTCGTATAAAATTACAAGTGCGTTCAATTTAGGTGATACCTAATTACTACATGAGATTTTTACAATTAATCTATAGCTATTGTTTTATTACTAGTTTGCGTTTTATTCATTCTAATTTTATTATTTAATATGCTTTGCCATAAGTTAACAATAGTTTTCACTTTCAAACTCACTTTTAATAATCATATAGCAAAATAATAAAATTAGAAGTTATATATAAAAAATAGTTGATGTTTTATTAGAATTATAAATTTGACATAATACTATTTATTTTAGTTTTATGAAAACGTTTATTTATTTTATTAATGTTATTGACATGGCAAGTATTAAGCCTTAAATCCGAGTTTAAATCAGTATATTAATGATAATCCCGCTCATAATATTTTTTTAAACAAAAAAAAATATATATATAAAATTTCATTTGATTGAATTTAAAAAAAAAAATATAAAACTTTTTATGATTTTCATTTTATAAAAATAATATAATTAACTAGCTATGATGTTTTATAACACGTGTTTGAAAACATAAAAACTTTAAATCTGATTTCTAAGTAATTTAAGTTTTTCAACATATCAAAATTATCTTATTAAAAGTTGAATTACGTAAAAAAAAACTTTTCCCAGAAAGTATTCTAAATTAATACTAGCTTATTGAATTAAGAAATAAATGTAAAACAAGTATGCATAATGATTTTATTTTAAGCAGTCTTAAATATTTTATTTTCAATTCGTTTTAGTCAAATTAATTTTAACTCTCTAATAGCCAAATAACAATTTAAGTTTAGTAAATGTTTGCAATAAAATCACGTTTTTCATAATTTGCATTGATTATATTTAACCCACCTAACAGTTGTATTATGTTAATTGTGGTACTAAGAAAACTACCCAAGAGTAATACTAATAAAGGTAATATTAAAAATAATTTTGCTTATCTTAATTGTTTTTTTTTACTTGAAAAACTATGGTTTTTTTAAAGAAAATATAAATAAATGGTGTTGGCTTACTGAGAAATTGATGAAATAACGTTATTAAAAAAAATTTAGTTGAATATATGTAATTAATAAATGTAGTTGAAACGAAAACAATGAAAAATGTACAAAAACAGTTTTAAAGTAGTCTTTGTTTTATATTAATACCAAGTTATATTTTCGAACTATTAACTGTATTTAAAAAAGTAATAAGCTCACCATTCAGTATTTTGCCCGCGTGCATAATGGCTAAACATGAAACGTATGTGTTATTAAATTCGAATTGACAAGGGACTAAGCTCGGTGGTGTTTTTCACTCATATTAAAAGCGCATACTTCTAGTTGTATATAACTACTATATAATGTACATACACACATATTACAAGTGTGTATACAGAAAACTGTTATCATATTTTCGTCGAGTAGAAAATTTATGGCGATGACGTTTATTTGAAAACGGCGAAAAGCTCGTTGGCGCAATTATTAATGATGTTCACTTGTCCTTTTATTCCCATTTCATCTTTTACCAACTATAGCGGGTAAAATAATACAATTCAAACACACCTCGTAATTCTCTCCGTAGTCTTCGCGTAGACTGTTATGATTTCCAGTTGCACTGTTTTCAAAATAGTCTTTTTATTTTTTTCCTTGAGTAACTCAATGAGTTTCTATAAAAATGGAAGACTTATCGCTTTTAAATTATTAAAAAAAATAAAAGTTCGGAATTAGAAGTAGAACTAGCGGATCAGTAAGCAGTTTGATACAATGGTTGAACTAGAGATTCTGTAACATTGAGAAAAAGGGGTATTTGATACATACCTCTCCTATCAGTAAATATAGGTCACGCTATCACAAGCGAAGAAGTAGATGAGCGAATATCATAGAAAAAAATTTTTTTTTACAATTAACGAAGGTCAATTTGAACATTGCTTTTACTGTTTTAAACTTATTAGGTAATAAATAAAATGATTAAAAAGAAAGGCGATGGTCCGTAGTAAATCACGATTAAGTCCTCTTTAGTTTTGGTCTTGTGTCATTGTTAGTAGCATTTAATAAGATGCATCCTATTTAATACTTATTTGGTTCCATTAAAAATAATAGTAACATTTATATCATCAAACCTATAACTCATCATCAAACGGAAATATTTGTATAATAAAAGTTATTAATTCATTGAGTAACAAGCCTTTACATAAATATTTTTAAAATAAATATTTTTTTGTCAGTCTCGCTATTTGGACGTTTAACAAAATTAGAATAATTTATGAATAATTAACATCATAGCATACGATAAAATTTTAAAGTAAGAGAGTCAAAGGACTTTTAAAATAACATTTTTATTTTAAATTTTATAGATAAAACTGTAAATGTGTTTACTTCAAATATCAAACTAAATGTACGCCGTTAGCAATTATCGTAAATATTATAATAAATTTGATTCTTTTAAATTATTTTTATTTTTGTACTGGCGCTAAAACTGTTTTTTTTAATCAATTACTTGAACACATGCTTTAGTGGCACTCTTAAAATAAATTAATTTAATGGTTAATACACAAGATTAGTAAATTTATTACTTTTTTAATAGTTTCTAATGTGATAGTAAATATTTTTTTTGGGGGAAATATGTTTGACAACACTTTTATCATTTCTCTACTTTAATTACAAATACTGTACAACTTGGGCTTATCGAACGTAACCCAAATAAATTATTGTAAATTAGTATTATTTTATGCAAAATATTTAAATTGCATACCGTAAGAGTGACAATTGTATAGAAGGATTTCAGCTAACATTCTTCAGATTTATATCAACTCATGTTTATGGCCACTTACATATTATTAATCGCAGAATTCCACGCTATGAGTTAATTTACTTTAGCTCGAACAACTCGTTTGAAGCCTATTTCAATTAAGCGATGACTATCATATTTTCTAAAATCAGCCGCTGGTAAATTATGCATACTAATTTATGGTGCATTTAATTACCAGTGTTGCTCTTTTAATTCAATAATTTTATTCAGAATTTCACATTAATAAAATAAATATCAATACCACTCGTCAAATAGTACGGTGCTAATGCGAATATATTATTTTATCAAAAAGGTTTTATAATCAATGATTCGAATGTAAAGATCTAAATTTGGACTACTTGACCGACGTACGTAAAAAGCCGTGAGTGGATATAGAATTGTAACAAGTTGGAAAATAGAAGGGCCTGTAAAACTTTTGAAGGTCTTGAACAAGGGGTCAAACATGAGTGTATTTTTATTTATCACACGTACAATTATTATTTGCATAAAACGTAAGTGACTACGGTGGCGGAGTTGTGTTCTTTTGGGAGCTGTACAATATTGTCGTCGCTAAAATCGAGGAAAAAGGAAAAAAATACTCATACACACACGCACACCCACAACTAACAAACGACACGCGATAACAAAAACAAATAAATAACCAGTCCAAACGCATAAATATATAAAGAAAAATAATTAGCATTTGGTGATTTAAATTATAATATTGTAATGAAATTCTTTTCCGAGCACACGTATTGTTGATTAATTACAAAAAAATGCTTTGCACGCCACATATGTAGACTAAAAAATAACACTGTATTAATATTTGGCGATAACGATACGGTTGCTGGTGTAGGAAACACCTTTGAATTTCCGTCTGTAAAAATCAAGTTTTATTCGGTGTTATTGGCCCAATCGTTCATATTTATAGGTGAATAATTGTTCAATTTATTTAGATAACCGAAAAGTGAAAATTTCTTTCAAATATTTACTGTTTATAATAAATACATCCAATTAATAACTTTTTTTTTTGATCTATTAAAATTAAATTAAATTATAATAATTATATACAATTTAAAGCTATTTTAGTACGTGAGTAGGTGTTCGTTAAAACTAAACAATTATTACTGCCAATAATTATCAAAAACAATTTGTATGGAAGAATTTTTTGTTATGTTTTTAAATTAATAGAATGTTTAAAATTGTTATAAACCGTAGTTGATGTTAAAAGTTGAAAGATTTTCATTTCTATTTTAGGAGTTTATAATTGGCGCCGTCACTGCTAAGTTGAATAATATTGCAAAATTTAGTTTAAATGCTTATACCAAAAAAGGAACACTGATAGAATACAAATTCACAATCACCCTCTTAAACAGGGATGGTCTTTAATTGGCTTTGAATTTAAGATGTTAAGTTCTTTTTTAATATAAATAAACGTTTCTGAATACATTTCACGTTTTGTCTGTAGAAAAAGCCATAGTAATTAAATCTTCTTAAAGGGGGCATAATATTATTTTTTTGTCATTCTATCAGACGCCACTTTTTGTCACTAACGTCGTGAGAGTCTGAATGTTAAAAAAAAATTTTTCTTCCCCCAACACTGATTATTAATAAGACCTGTCAACGCTACTGTCGTCATCTGTATTACTACCCCACCGCTTAGTTTACAGTTTGCAGCATCTGGACAGACATCTTTAGAAATTAATATTTTTTTCCGGTGAGTATTGAGAGAAAAATAAATTCTTTTTGCTAAAACTAGTAAAAACTTATGATAATTATTTAAAAGTTTTTTGCATTATAATTTTTTTAGCTTTGATGCGAAGCTGAGATGGTATTAATTTTACCATGATATGTTTATTTTTTTTTTGTGTCTGTCACTACTTTTCCTCAGCTCTCACTGGGTTTAAACTATTTAGAAAAATTAGTTGGGTCGATAACGACCTTATAGTAAACACTTATTGAGTTACAACTAATATAATACATAAAATAAGAATATAGAGTATGAATTATAAACAAACAACAGTAAGAATTGTACCCAACCACACATTTTATATTTTTTGTAGTATTATATAAAATTAATTTATGAACAATAGAAAAAAAATGCTTTGCCCTTAAACTGAAATCTGCTATTAATATGATACAGTTTTCCAGAAAAGCATATTTTTACCACTTTCTTAATTTCGACATGATTGAGGTTGTTATAATTGGAAAACTGTCTTGTATTATGCTGAACTTTTCATCAAATAATTTTTGTACACATTTTTAAAAATTGTCCCTAAAACAAAATCCTTAAGGAGAATTTGAAATTATTCCAAAAGAAACAGATCCTGGACTTTTAGTTAACATGAGACTATTTAACATTGATCCCTTGGTTTTTATATCAACAACTTTATAGTTATATTTTATAACTAGGTTTTTTTTTATTTTATATAATTTTATGGTGATATATTTAGTACAAAATTATTTATTCAAAGTATTATTAACTTATAAAGTTTTAATTTGTTCAATTACATTTAAAATTAATAATTTTCAGAGATTGTGAAATAATTTTTTCAATTTCGTAATATTTACCATATTTTTAACAAATAAGACCGAAATAATATTTTCTGTTCATTAGTACTTGGGTTCCATGAAACTAAACAACATTTTTTTTATAAATCTAAAGTACCTATGACACATACATTTTAAAAGATCTCAAATAATTGTTAAAGAAGAAAAATCTACTATATAGAAAATAGTTTTAATTGCACAACTTTGTCCTAACAAACTAAGAAAAAATTTTTTTTTTTAAACTATATTATAAAAATAGCAAAAAATTATTACTAAATACAAATTAAGTCAATTAAGAAAATATAATTAATTTTTTTAATTATTTAATATGTTTAGAATTTTTCTTGATGATATTACATAGTTATTATTGCCAAGTTTTGAATGTATGGTACATCTATAAGTATTATTATTTAGTTTGCGCATATTTTTTTTATGTGCATTTGATAATTTTAAATCTAAATAGAAGTAAATTGTTAGTTTTCGAATAAACACATTAATACTGTCATAGATACCTAATATGGTACATTTAACTGCCAAAGGTGGATTTTTCATAAAACACATCTTCAACCTACGTAATTGGCCAGCTTTCACAGTAACTGATTCTCCCCAATCAAGTAAATTAATTACATAAGTCTCTTCCCCGTTCACGTTTTCTTCAACAGATCTACAAATTCCTCTATACCATCTACCATCTCCTAAAATTAAAGTAATAAAATTATTACCAGGAAAATAATGACAATTTTGTTTTTATAATAAAGATATCGTTTGATTGTTATATAGCACTTTCATGAAAAATAAAAAACATTAAATAACTATCATAAAACCATAAATCTCTTCGAATTATACATATCATTATACTTTTTTTATAATTAAAAATTTTGATTACCATATTTAGTTGCACAAAGTTCATTTATTTGTGGTTTGTAATTGAAATTTTGAAAAACAGGCTGTCTATAACATTTAGTCATTTTATTTTCCATAGACCTTACGATATGTTCATCAACAACTTTTGTCATGCAAAAATAATCTTTTTGAGAGTACAGTACTCTCATGTGATAGCTACAATTATTTGCCAAATCGAGTTGAGGCAAATTTTCTAACATATATAATTTTGGTCTGTTATCGACTTGAGTTCCATTATGTCCATCCACAATATCATCTTGCTATAAAGCAAAAAATTAGTGTTAATATACATAATTTATGGTTACTTTATTTATCTTAAACGACTTTTCTGAAAAGCTATGCTTGTGTTAGCAGTTAATAAGAATGTATGATCAAAATTTAAGTATGGTTTCTAATTACCGAGTATAACTGTGTATCTTCCAATACAGATTTTGACCAATCTAAAGTTGATGATATATCAACTAAAACATAAATTACAAAAAGAATTTGTCCATATAATTTCTAATACATTTTTTAACAAATTTAATATAAAATGAAATACCGATTCTTCATCTCAAGTACTTACTTAAAAATGTTAATAACTTCTAAAATAGTTTATGTTTACTAATAATTTTATTAACTATATCATTATTCAATAAATAATCTAATTATTTATGTGTATTGCTATTTAATAAGTAATTGTATCTCAATTTTAAATTAAACATACCTTCTAAAGACAATTCTTTCAATGTGTCCAAATGAGAATCATTTGGAGTAGACAAGATGCAATACTGTGAAGCAGTGCTGTTCATATAACTTTTAGATAATGAATTTAATTTATTAGGTTCTGTCATTGATTTTAAAATTATATCTTCTGTTAATAGAAGAGTTTGTGTTCCACAATTTATCAAATCAAATTTGTTTGTTTGCGTTTCAGACGTATTATACACAGAATTAAAATGAGTCTGAGTAAATTTTTCAGAGAAAAATATCGAGGTCTGAGAAGTAGCGTCTTTAATCCCTTCAACTTGAGAAATTAAGTTATGTGATTGTGGTACACATTCTACATGAACCATCACATCCTCTGTCAACATAATAGTTTGTGATTCACAGTCTACTAATTTCACTAAATAAAATATAACGTTAATAATAATTAAGTTAACTAAAAAATAAATGTATTATAAATAGAAAAAATTAATTTAATAATCATTTGAAAATACAGAAAAATACCCTTAATATTTTTACTTATTCCAAATTTCTTCTTGACACTTCTAATTATACGTGTTATAAATTTAGCCATTTTTGATAAAAAATTTTTGATTATTACTTTACGACACTTTGAATGATTCCTTATTCGATTATTATTTTAATTTTGGATTCTAATTATGTTGAAAACTAATTTTAAAATCGTCATTCTTAATAAATGTACAAACGGTTACTATGACTAATTTTTTTTTTAAACCAACCAGAAAGAATAGGCTACTTTTAATATTTCTATATATAATTATATATTTTTTTTACAATTTTAGCTTCAATGAGAAGCTGAGAATTTAATTATCTTATAATAATGTGTTTATTTTTTTTTTGTTTCTGTCACTACTTTTTCTCAGATTTCACTGGATCGATTTTTCTCAGCGATATGTCAAAAGATCATAATCTAGTTGAAGACATTACCCACAAAAAATTTGCCCTCGTTCCCCGTAAATGGAGAAAATCCCACAAAAAATACCAATTTTTAAAATTGGACAATTTTCTTTTATGCAGGTGGGATTTAAATCTTTAAAAATACGAGTAAATAGTAGAACTTTTTCAACTTAACTTTTGAAAATGTTTCGAAAATATTCCAAGCCTTATGTATATATATATATCAAATTAGAGGTTAAGACAAATACTATAAGTTCAAAAAAAAAATTTGTCCAGACACCTTTTCTTCTATGGGGAAATGGCCGCCGAATTGAGCAATGTAATATTTTGATACTTAAACGTGCCATTACTTAGCTAAAAATGTGCAAAGCAAAATATTTAAAAAAAAAATTTATATTGAATCCTTAGGTATTGCCTCTTTATTTTGCATACATTTTAAGAAATTCTGACCATTTATCTGCAATCAGGGGAGATTCAAAATAATAACTTTTGCACATAAGTTAAAATTTTTCAACTTAACTTTTGAAAATATTCTGGAAATACTGACACTTTTATATACATCTTAAATTAAAGTTTATGTAATATACATAACTATAAAAAAATTTCGAACTTTGGTTTATCTTTATGATGAAAATGGATACTGTATTCAAAAATATGCTATTTTTGTGTTAAAATTTTTTTGATTTTGTATTATATTTTATTTTAAAATACCTTACAAGGGAAGTACACTGATTTTCGTAAATATTATATAAATTTAATTAACATAATATAAAAAGTTAAACTTATTAAATTTTTTTACTTTTTTTAAGTCAAGAAAAATAATTTTGAAATTTTAATTAGCTTGAATTTTTATTTTTTATCTACCCAACAAATGTGACGTACGGTGCCGAGTCGGTAACACTTGTGTCTATCACGCTTAGAGTACGAAGTTGAATTTTTTTTCACTTTTTCGTTTTAAGTTAGATATACATTTTTAATTCTTTTGTTTTTTATCTCATTTAGATTCAATAACTTCAAAGAATATCAAGGATATTCTCCCCTCATTTGAAGAAATCTCTTATTCATATTTAAATTATTTTACTATAGTTTTTTTTGTGGCTGTCATTTATTTTCTCAGCTCTCGCTTAATAAATTTGATACATTAAATTATCAAAACTAGTATCTAGTTAAAGATATTACCCTCAAAAATTGAAAAAAAAATCCCCTTTATCAAATAAAAAGTTGCTTAATCAGCTTTTTCCTTTTAGACAATTAAAATCATTCATACTTAATTTTTAAGTATTTATTTTTGAATTAGGTTTTATATGATAATAGGTTTCAACTACAACATAAAATAATTTTACTTTGTTATTTATTAATTTTTTAACTCTATATGTGTGTGCTACTACCAGTCTATATAATTCCGAATTTTTTGATAACATGTTGGTGTATAAGAAATTTCTAAAAAAAATTATTTTTAGTTTCATGTGAATTTAACAATGGATGTGTACAATTATAACTAATTTTTATAATACTTACAATTGTTAACAACTTTTTGATTGGTTTTTTTAGTTAAAGTAAATCTATAAAATTTATTAAGTTCTGAATATTTCAATTGTAGGATATTTGTAAACACCAAAAATTACTTAGAAATTATTAATTTGATTTCTATTCAAGTGATCTATTACGATAAAAATGAAAAAAAATATTGAGTTTTTGATAAATACAATTTATAAAATTTCTTGACTGCATATTTATCTTAACAATACCATTTTTTTAATTCTCATAAAATTTTCTATTTAATGATGTCAATTTTAAACTTGAAAGTTGAGCCAAAAGTCACAGTAATAACTTTTAGCTTTTTTTATATGTTAATACTCGTTTTTTACTAATTATTTATACTATCATCTACTAATTGCAGATTTAAAATCAGTGCGAAAAATCGGTTTAGAAAAGTATATTTTTGACTCCCATGAAAATTCCTTGTAGACTATTCGTAATTAACAACGAATGAAAAGTTTTATATCAAGCTCTTCAATTTTTATAAGTGTTTGCCATAAAAGTAACAACTATTTTAAAACTTTTTTCTAATTTATCCGTAAAAACTGTAATACTAAATTATTAAATATCTATTTCATACTATGTTTAATTTCTATAATAAATATTTATTCATACATTATATTTATAAATCAAAGGACTGCTAATTAGGAATAATGAAGGAAATAGGATTTCATTTTTCTTTTAGAATAATCCACCAATTTCTTAAAATTAAACACTATCTACAGTTTTCCATCGAAGCGTTTCTTTTGATAGTGATTTCAATCACTGCTACCTTTTATTTTTTGTATTTATATCAGTGGTGGTAGCTCGTGAATGCTGGTGGTGGGGGTATATAATACCGCTAGTTATAGGTATAAAAAAGGGTAAAATTTAATGTAATAATATAAAACACATAATATTATTTTAAAGATCGCAGTTGAAAATAGAAATGAAAATAATAATTATAGCTATTATACTATAATAGCAACTGATAGCGACAAGCAGTTAATACTAAAAATTAATTAGTAATTTACTAATATTTTACCATATGGACAACGCTACCGGTCGTCCAAATCCCGAACATGACATCACAGCTGAACAGAACCCTCAAGCACACGATTTTTGCGCCTCGCTAATAGTATACATTTCTGCTCGTGTGTGAATACTTACTCTCATATACTGAGGGAAATAACATTAATGTTTACACACCACAAATGTATTATAATTATTTTATTATTTAAGAATTTGCATTTTTAATTGTAGAATTAAGAATATACAATTAATTTTCTTCTTTTAATTAATTTTAGTAGAGGTTGTGATTGTCCAAGCCACGAGACTCCACTGATTTACATACATGTGTATATATATATACTTGGTTAATATTGATGTGGAATATCTACTGCATATAAAAACGGAAAATAGAAAGTTTATGATTTTTGGGTCATGTGGCAAATTAATTTCTTGTAAAAATAATTCTACAGTGATCATCATGAATCTTAGGATTATAAAATAACTATCTATTTTATGTTTTGTGATAACATTTGATTCATTTATTCAAAGTTTGATATTATTTTATTGGATAATCTTTATTTTCATGTAAATTGTTAGCAAACAATATGAGAATATTTAAAATAAATTTTATCGTTCCTTTTTTTAAATGTTACATGAATTATTATTCTCTATCCAGTTGACTTTTAATTATAACTCGAAATTATATTTTTAGAAGTTAATATAATTCGTAAAATAAATGAACTTTTAAAGTCGTAACTTTACAGTAACGTACAATTATATTTACAGTTTTTGGTTCGTAAAATTGTATTAATAAACGAACCAACAACAAACGACGTGTAATATTTTAGTTGGAAATTGAAATAGCAAAATATGTATGATGATTAAAGCGATTCGCTGTGCCATAAAGTTATTTAAAAGGCAGGAAAGGAAACACTTTTCTTCATTTCAACGTACCCCTTTTAGTATAATACAATTTTAATTAAGAAGCTATTCTATAGATTTCATTCTCATAAATTCTACTCAACAAAATACTATAAAATTATTTAAAAGACGATATAAATTAAAAATATATTATTTAATAAAAATGATTTGCATTCGCCTAAGAAAT